TCCCACCCCTCCCCCCCGCGCATCCAACAAAGGATTTAATCCTGGAGCACCAAGCCAAGCAGAGCGTCCCAACTGGTGGGCAAGGAAGCCATTCACCACCCTCCAGCAAGCAGCCAGAGCTCCCTAAGCACCAGGCAGGGAACTGCCTGCAGGAGGAGCATGGCAATTCATGCAGGAATAAAGCTTATTCCAGGCTGCCACTTTGTCAGGCTTAAGTTCGGCTCATTAGGACGTTCGTCTGTTACTTATGCAAATAAGTCTATGCATAGTCACAAAATATGCAAAGTGGGCCGTTTATCGGTTTGGCACAATCTCCAACTTTCTGAACCCTCAGACATCCCTGATACATGCAGAAGAAAATGCGGTCTCCCCTCTTGCTGTCACTGGCAGAGAGGCCGAGGCAGAGCCCACCTGCTACAATCCATGTCCTCTCAGAGGATTCGCCGTGCTCGGGATAGAAGAGATAATGCATTCTGTGTGACTTTAAACCTATTATGTTACAGCTCAGTATGTTTAATCTTATGAATAAGGGATCTCTACTTGTTTCACCTTTCCAGGGAAGGAGATTTATGAATTTGCATAACTCTAAGCATTCTGACTGCAGTTTATTATTTATTTATAATAAGTATGTGTCAAAAAATGTCCTCTGGAACAGTCTGCTTAAATGCATTTCTTTGTCTGGACAGCTGCAGTCTAAGGTCGCTCTCACTCATGAAGAGTGGAAACCTCAGCTCATCTCTCTCCTGCACTTATTGCTCTCTTCTCACTTCAGGAAAGTATTATTTTCTGCACGAGTCTAGAGTCCGCATCTACCTGTTGCTCTCCACACACAGCCATCAGTAACTGCAGGAGGTCTGAGTCCTCCTGACAAGGGTACGGGTCTACCAGAAACACAACTTTAGGGAATTCTTCCCCAGTTCTGTACCCCAGGCCAGTATCAGGCTGACGGCTTACCTGTTAGCTCCAGGGACCAGTTTCTCATGTATCCTCCCTAGCCTAACAGGATGGCTTATTTAAGTTGCTGCAAGGGTCACCGTACAAACTAGCAGAAAAGAGTTTCCATACTACAAGTAAAGACAAAAGAAAATGACAGAGCTTCTTGCTCTGTTATCCTTATGTGAGGGACCTGCCTTACCCATTCACTTCTCCTATGGTCTGTTGTAACCATCTCCCAGGACCTATGTGGAGCTGTGGACCTGCATGTGGTCTCAGAATTGGCACTGAGGGGAGGAACACCTCCAACAGGCAAGGAGAGGTAGTCACAATGGTTTCCCTTCCAGGGTGGCTACAACTGGACCTCAATTTGATAGCAAGACAAAAAATAACTTTCCCCCAAAATATAATTCCATGAGTTACATCACATTTAAAGTGCAGCACAATCACAATGCAGAGGTCTGAAAGTATTTCCAATGTTTTTTCCTTCTTCTCCTATGGGGAATTTGTATTTGCACATGAGAATAACTGCAACCTAAGTTAAATACCTCCTGGACAGTCTCTCTCATTAAAGTCCATCAAGGTGCCTTTCTTTGATTCTTTCAATATATGCAAGAAAATTGTGGTGGATTGACCCCATCCAGCAGCTAAGCACCCACCCAGCTGCTTGCTCACTCCCCCCTGACATCAGGACGATGATCTCATCAGGAGAGAGAATAGTAAGAGCAAAAGCAAGAAAACTTATGGGTTGAGATAGAGGCAGTTTAATAAGTGAAGAAAAGAGGAAAAAAAAAACAGTGATGCAAAGGCAGCCACTCACCACCTCCCACAAGCAGACTGAGCTATGTCTCAGTCAGTCTCCGAGCTATGGCTACCTTCCCAGACCAACCACTCCCTCAGTTTTTATTGCTGAGCATGGCATTATATGTCATGGAATATCCCTTTGGCCAGCTGGGGTCAGGTCTCCTGGCTGTGCCCCCTCCCAAATTCTTGCCCACCCCCAGCGTACTTGCTGGGGGGGGGGGCAGCCTGGGAAAAAGAGAAGGCCTTGACTCTGTGGGTGCACTGCTCTGCATAGCCAAAACACTGGTGTCTTATCAACACTATTTTAGTCACAAATCCAAAACACAATATCTTACAGGCTGCTGTGAAGACAATTAACTCCCAACTCAGCCAGACCCAACACAAAAATTAATGAACAAATGCATTGCCTTAAGTTAACCATGAAGAAAATTGTCCTAGAAGGGGCATTTCTTTCTTAACATCAAGAGCTATTCTAAAACGGCTGCCCTTTTTATTCTAAATCTTTTGCCCCTTGGGTAAGTGCAAAACCATGCAGTCAAAAATATCTATACAACTTGACTTTCTGTGAATTTAATTCTGCCATTTCCAGCTGAGCAAAATTATCTTTACATCATGAAAACATATGCTTCCCCTTAATAAACATTTAAATACAGGCACTTCAAGTCTCTACCTTCACTTTTGCTTTGGTGCAGTAAAGGATTATCCATGCAAAATTATACAACCAAGCTTTCTGCTGTGAGTCAGCATGGTTCCGTTGTTTTTCATGGATCAGTTAACACACACCGGAGATTTTAGCCATTGTTGCCTATAATGGCTGATTTGCCTATTACAGGGAACTGAGAGCCATCTGTGTATATGCCATAAGGATACACCAGTGAAATGGAGACTATAAACTGACAGAACATGACCTATGACTGTAAGAGATTCAAAGACAAGATGTGATACCTTACCTTTGGAGCCTGTAGTACGTCAGACACACCTTGCTTAGGTCCTGCAAAACCAGGTTTTGGTGCAAGTGTTGTTGGCTTTTTGGGAGGCCTGGGTGGTGGATGAAGGGTTTGGTTTTCATATCTTCGCACCATATAGTATTGCTCTTCGCTGATCTCTTCCACTGTTGTCTTAGTCACAGGAGGTACAACTGTCTGGACGTCTCTGCTGAGCAAATGGACCGACATGTTTAAGCGATATACAGGAATCTCCCAGCTCTCCACTGGATTGTTGGTGCTACTGATCAGCAAGTAAGAGTCTGTGATTTCTTCTTCAAACTGCAGACCAGGCACGGCAGCCAAGACATCTTCCTCAACGGAAAGGTCCCTCACGGAGACTTTGACATTAAAAGGCAATCGAAATTCTTTGCAAATCTCAGAAAGCTGGTATTGTTTCTTGTCATGAATCACTTCCACAAAGCCACCTTCCATGTACATAGGAAGGAGCACTTTCTTATATGTATCACTTAGTATTTGTTCACAAGCTAAAACGTCTATGACTTTCTTTCTTCCCTCATACAGAACTTCACTAGTCTGGCATTGCTGAACTAGAAACTGGTCTCCAACTAAAACAGAAAAAAGCTCTTTATGAGGTGAGTCAAAGGCTTTAGTTGCTACAACGTGAAGCTGTTCCTTTTCACTTCTCGCTAGCTCTAAGTCATAGGCAGTTGGAAACTCCCGAGGTCTTCTCTTGAACTTCCCTTTGTAGCTCATAGGGATTAAAAAATGTCTTTTGGGGGAATCACTTCTGATCTCAGAGGCTAGGACTCTTGCTGCCTGGTACTTTTTGTAAATGACAATCTCGTTCCCTGTATGCAGTAAGTTATATGGGTTTTGGCTTCCTGAAGGCCCTTCCATTATCTCAGCAACCATAGGAAATTCCTTGCTTGTTCTCTCAAATACATCTTCCAAAGACAGTGGCTGAAGGAAAGAGCTAATATCATAACAGTCTGTTATATCCTTGACCTCAACATCTAGATCTGAGAGGATATGAACTATGTCCTTTCGAACTGAAAAGAAAAAGAAATACATTGATTTTTGTTTTCAAACTGACATTGGAATAAAATATACATGTTCTGTTGCCCAGATACTAAAAATACCTTCCCTGAGGTGTTCACCTCCATATGTTAACATGCGCAATTAATAGTGCCAGTCAAAGTCTAACTATTTTAATTTGAGATATATGTCTATCAGATAGGAGACCACACAAAGGAAAAGAGAAACAAGAGGAGATGAGAATAAGATGTCCAACTGAACAAAAGTTCACTTTAAGAAAAAGGAAAGGGAAAAAAATCTAGTTCACTATATTTCTCACAGCACCTCCAAGTTTAATTAGTTATTTATCTTATCAAACTCTTTTTCTTGAGTACAAGATGTATTTCTATCCTTTTGTTTCATAGTAACTTACGGTTTCTCCAAAGAAATGGGTGGAGGAACATTTTTAATGAATAAATAGCATTTGAACCCATTAACACATGTTGTTGCTGTGGCCAATCTGGGAGAAATGAGATATTTTGATATTTATAAGAATGATGAAAACATCTATAATTATTAGAAAATAACACAACTTTTTTAAAAAAGGCAAAACCTTTGTATAACAAAGTCTAAGTTTATTGTTAATGAATGAAGAAATATCTACTACAGTGGTCCTCTGTGGAACTCTTGCATCTTTTTCTGCGGCATCTGGTTTTATTCACTGTCAGAACCGAGCCATTGCATTTAATAGTCTGACAGGGAACAACTCCTCTTTTATCACAACTGAACTTGCAAAATTCTGGATGCAAAACTTCCAAGCACAAAGCTGACTATGCAATTAAGGCTTGTTTAAGAATTTTGCTCCAGATCAGTGACACCACAGATCACTGACCAGGGCAGTAAAATTTAACAAGCAAATAATATTTAATTACTCTCTTCAGTAAGACTTATTCTGCATAAACCTGCACACAAGGATACTATATCTTGGATTCACACTTCCTTGTAGCAGGTCATACCAATATTTTATACCTAAAATTCAGTATATCAGATGTATTTTATATGATAGAGTTTTATGACAGTGATTCAGGATCTATTTATTCCAACTCTCCTTTTGTCACATTGACGCCTTTAGGCGACGAGCATCCTAAGCACCACAAGGGAAAGTCAATGAAGGAGAAATGACTAGTGAAATTGAAAGTTTTCTATGAGTATTTGGGGGAGTTCCACATACATAATTTGTTCATTATTAAGAGTAAGAAGTATAGAAGATTCCTGCCCACAGCCTGTGAAAATGTAATCTGCTTTCCCTCTTATTAGGAATCTTTTTTATTGACTTGTGGATAGTATTTCTCATATTTTATCTTGTGTCTATTTATAGTTCTTCTAAAAACGGTGAAAATCCATTTTGCATGGTCCACAAGAAAGTAGTTAATCATGTACCATGAAGCCTACTTTTCAAGTTTGTATTAAATAGTTATTTAGGATATATTTAATGCTTCTTAAATGTTGAGCACACTATGAAACATAAATGGGCATGAAATAAAATCAACAAATACAACTCTGACTGGAATATCTGATTGGAAGACAAGTGGATACCAAACATTCCTGAATCTTCTGAAAGCTTTTTAGAAACATTAAATTCTTATTGATTCTGCACATATATCTAAGTGGGTATAGGAATACACCTAAGTGAATTCAGCTTCAGAAGATGGGCTAGATTCCTTAATCTAGCTAGAGTTGTAGAAAATGATGTATTTTATCTCATGAAGATATACTTCCTAAACTCACACATTAAATCACATAGCAAGCACAGTTGAATATCTCATGATAAGCATTTAATAACTGTAGTATATTGTGCTAACAGTCTCTGCCTGCTTTTATTTCTTTCTCTTTTACCCATTTACTTACATCATTCATCAGAGAAATCTCAATTGTGAAAAGATTTCCTGCTTAATATCCTCATGAATGACATATTTCTGTTAGGATTTCATTTTTATGGAGCTGTTCACTGGTCTGCTTCTAGTAAAGGAAACAAGCAGCAAAACTTTCTCAAAAGCTAAGCTCCTATCCTGCAAACTCTAACAGGATGGGTGTATTAACAAGCAGAATTGCAGCGAGTTTCTATCTACTGCCTGGGCTGTTCTCAAGCAAGGTCAAACATTTTAGCTTAAGCCGGTTTTTTGCTTAGGTAGGTATCTCAGTTCAGAGAGGGTACACTATGCACGCACCCAGGGGTCATTACTGCAACTTGGCTATTCAAGTCACCATAACTCAGGAGAATTTCACTGCATGCTTATACCCTTGCACACCTTCTAATTTTATTCCCATGATTAATTTCACTAACAGGTTTAAAGTAAGGCATAGATATAGACATTGGTAAGAACAGAACCCAGCAGTTTCAGTGTTTCAGTGGAACAACTAGAACAGTGACAATGTGCCATGGACAAAATAATTTTTTTTTTTTTACTAAAAACTCGTAACACAAATTACAGTTTTTAAAGATATTGGTTTTCTAATATCTTCCTCTTTCCTCAAACCTAGAGGTTCCAGAAATTGTCCATGAGTCTTTTCTGTTTATAATCTATTGATATGTATTTCTGCAATAGAGTAAAATAATATGGTTTCCCTTTCTGCAACATCCTCATTCTGAAAAATAAACGGTAGTTGAGTGTGTTACAACATGTATGTCTATATTCTTTTTCCACCTCCTAGCCATAGCCATAAATGATCAAGTGGCTTCTCCATGGCCAAAGTCTGAGACACAAAGAAAGAGAATCTGAGAACTGAACAGAATTCCGAAGCTCCACTTTTTCACTGTGCAATATATTTTCTTTGCAACGATGATTTGATTGTAGTGATCAATAAAATGACAACAGAATGAAATGCAAGGTAACTATCTGAATTAACAGCTGATAAAGGAATAAAAAAGGTGATATTATTTTTATCTTTCTTCATCTTGAAATTACAAATATGGGTCAGGAATTCTTGAGCAAACTGAATCCTTCCTGCCTATTTTAGCAAATTTTGTGTATTTAAGGGTACTTTGCTATACCGAGACGAACAAAACATTGACTTTGATTCCTACTTACATTTCATTACTGCCTGCACTTCATAGACAGGTGTGAGAATCAAACAGCCATCAAAATTCTCAGGAAGTGGATTAGAGGAGTCCCACATAGGTAAAGTATTGGAAAGTTTGACAATCCTGTTTCTGCACTTAGGGATTTTCCATTCTGCAATCTCTTTTAGGGTGTATATCTGGTCATCTTCACACTCGTAGAATTTTCCTTCTTGTGAAAGGGGCAAAGTAAAGGAATGAGACTGGTTATTTCTGACCACGCCACAGTTCACAGCCATTGTTCCATTGACCTCTTCCACTGAGTTGAAGGTGATCTGCTCGCCATGTTTGATAGTAAGGTTTGCCAATTTTATATCCTCAGGGCTGTAGAAACATGGATGGCCAAATCTTGTTGGCCCAATAGAAACTTTTCGTGTAATTTCTTCAATGCTGACATATGGAGTTTTATCTGCCACAACCTTATAAAGACCTAAGAACAGAAAACTTGCATTATAAAAAGGGAAATATATAAAGGAAACCATGTCAAATTTTAGACTGTGAATAGAATAAAAATGGGGAGCAAAGCACATCAAACAATTCATAGCTGATAGTTTGGTTGCTAGAAATGTGACTCTATAAAGATAACATCAACTACATGATACAAATCATAGGCGGCTGGAATTAGCCCTTTCTACTCTGCAGGTAATTTCTGATATCCAACATTTTTATGTCGATGGTAAAAAGAGAAAAAAAGTTCTTTTCTTTGCTACAGAAAAAAGAAAAATTATCTTAAATTCTTATTTGTCTTCTCAGGAAACCAACCTTTAAGAAAAAAAATGCAGACATGGTATGAGGAAGAACAACACTAATGTGATCAGTGAAATGCAGGATAAAATTTCTGGCTAAACATTGTACTATGTATTCTGCCACACACAGACTTGGGATTCCTAGACCAAGTATGTTTAAAGACACATCACAAATGAAAAAGTAGTGCCTACAGATAAGAATGAACAAAGGAAATTGATTTTAGCATATTTGATAGCCCAGACCACTAAATGGAGTAATTCAAAAGTTTGGGTGTTGCAGCACTGTGGCCATCACAAGGCAATTAAAGCGCTGAAGTACTGCAAGGCAGAAGCTGCATCTGAGCTTCCCTATCCCCTAGGGACATTATTATTTCATGTTAATCATGCCCCTTGGAGCTGTCTCATTAAGAGTCCACATCACCAGAAAAATATGCACATTTCTATATTTGCGTGTGTTTTTATAGAGGAAGATGAAGTGAATGGTTTAGAGGACAGAACAGTAGGGTTTAGCTGAACTGTGTGATTCAGCTGTCGTCTTCCCCAGGCACGGCACTGTGAATGCTGCCTCGTGGAATTACATTGCAGCTTCCCAGGACAGGCATCGACTAAGGCTCTCTTCCAAGTGAATATAAGTGAATGTAGAGGTTATTCCTAGGCCAGGTTTCCAAGCCAGGGGACCTACACAAGTTAACTGGTAGCTACAGCTACAGTGACGAAGTAGCTAAGAACCCTGGGAGATGCAGTGCCTTTTTTTCTTCCTTCCCCCAAAGCCAACTAGCAGAAACCCTATGGCCCCCGCTGTTCCACACTTTTGCCTCCTCTGGACCACACAAAGGGCATCATATCTTTGTGGTAAAGGAATTCTCCCACCTTGGCAGTCATTAAGCATGGGATGGGGACTCAAGGATTGCTGCTTGGCATCACTAGAGACTCTTTCATGGCAGCTCCATATCTCATGAGTGGTTTCTGCCATGTCTACAAAGGTTTAAGTGTCCCATCCACCTGCCCCCAGTTGTCTAGTGTGGGAACTGGGTCCACACTGGTTATGACTCCCTTCTCATGGGAACCAGAGTGTGAGAAAAGGGCAGGATGCCCCAGCAGATACCTGGGTCTCAGCAAGGTTGGATGCTGTCAGAATACAGTTCTTGTTGGAAGACACTTACTCCCTTCTCTAGACCTCCTCTGATAGTGGGATTGTTTAACAAATTAGATTGGGGGATTGCTTCAGTTAAAAATAACCTTCAAATTGCTTATTTTCTCCCACACTTTTTCCCTTACCGAGTTTCACCCACTGACCACAATCAACACAACTGAGGGGCCTGCATGGAAGGAGGGCTCCTTAAGATCGTATTCTTTAAAAAGGATATATCAAACCATTCCCTCCACCACAACAGCCATTTTTTTTGCCACAGAATTGGTGTGATTCACTTCATAGCTTTAGCACCCTTCTTGTTAAAGGAGATGTTATTATGATTCTGTCTGTTGAGTAGCTTTTAACTGAATTTATCACCAGATTGGGCATGTTTAGTTCTACGTGAGACCACTAGGATCTGTGGCAACTAACAGCTCTGAGGGCTTGTCAGCAGCCTAAACAGTAATAGCCTGTTTGAGCTACTGCAGAGATAGTCTCTAGTTGTGCCTATGTAACTGCTTTCTGCAATTCTGTGCCTTCACAGTTGTCTGTATGACAGTTAGTTTTTCCTGTGTGAAATTAGTACCCTTGTGCAAATACATCCTCTACATATATGCCCTCACTGCAGCACTTTGGGAAAGCCTTCAGGCCTTTTTCCAGGCTGCAAGGAAGCCACATCCATGAATGTAGCTGCACAAGTACAAAGTACAACTTCAACACACTTTTCTTTCTCACTGGTATTTTTAATGTTTCTTACAGTCGTTTTTAACACAATTATTAAGAAGCAAGTTAGCTACCCCAGTCCTAATCACTACTGGAGCTGTCCGTGCAGATCAAGACAAACTGGTTCATCAGCATTTAGAAAATATTGTAGTGACAAACTGAAATTGTGGAAAAGACAGCATCCCCCAGTGTTCCAGTGTCATGCTTTGCAAGCACAAGACGGGCATAATCTCCTGGCAGTGCTGGGAGAAAGCAAATAGGAATATTCTTCATTAAAAAATGTATTCAAAGTACATATGATGTATCCCAAAGGCAATAACTATGTTTACCCATCTGTGATACAGGAGCATGCACATTGCCCCTAGAAAACCTCCAGAATTGCATTAAAAAGCCTCCATAAACTATATTAAAAAACCATTCCCAGTTGAAAATATTTGGCAATGTACAGGTACGAGAAACATTCTTCTCCTCTCTGAGTTTGACAGTAGACTCAGGCTCTACTAATTTTGCTGGGACTACAGAGCTATTTGGAAGCCAGCTATTTCAGCAACGAACTGATGAGCATCCTGGGTTGGAAAGCAGGTTTCATATGGAAGCATAATTACCAGATCTCATACAAAACTAGACAACTGATTATCCCCTCAGGCCCAGGCAGACTGACTTTTTCAGGGTTGGGAGCAGAAAAATCTTCACCTTCCGTTCTGCTGGTTTTCTTAATTTTGGTAATAGAATGCTTGCATAGGCAACTAAAGAGCCATGTGGCCTTGCATACTTAGCTTCTGTATTGATGAGACCCGTGAAGTAAAGGCACCTAATAGCCACCTGTTTATGCTTATGAGTAGGTAAAGTTCCATATATTTCTCTTTCTATACAAAAGAGGTGAATATATAAAAAGTTATTTTGATATGATGGGCGAAAGCTGCTGTGGTTCCTATCTAACTGCCATAATCTGCCATGGTCTCTTCTCATAAATGCTCTCCTTGCTACAATATATATTAAAAAAAACCAAAACAACACAAAAACCAAACAACATTACCTGGAACCATTCAGAACCTTATTAAAATCATTATGAATCAAATTACAAAACCAAATGTTTTCCAACCCTAAGAAAGCAAGGAATTCTCCAGAGTAGGAGACATATGGTAAGCTTGAGATGCTAAAGTTTGGACATTTTGAGGTCAAACATAAATATTTTTGTACTTTTTCATAAATCATAAAATGACTTAATCAAATTCGCTTAGACTTTCCTAAGAGAGCTTGGTGAATTACTGGGGGAAAGACAGATGGAAATAGCAAACCTGGAAAAAAGTCCAGCTGGTTTGTCAATAGCTGGCATTATTGCTCTTATAGATCTACTTTCTAAATGTAATCTAGTCTACAACCAAAGTGCACTGATGCCCAACAGTTTTGGGGAAAATTACAGATAGAGACAAGAATAGCAACACATACATAGTAACTACAGGAACATATAACCATTGTCACACTGCATGAATCCTCTGCACCTAGTGGCATTTCACTAGGTGAAGTGCCTGCCTAGCCATAATATGATAATTAGTAAGCCCCAAACCTAATCAGCCCATCATTTTCAAGAAAAGTTTTAGGCCTTGATGTACACATTGGTAGAGAGAGAGGGTCTGGGAATCTGAAAAAATTCTTTTCACTGGTATGGGAGAGAAAACGTAGCCCAAGGATCACCCATTTAGTCCTGTGGGAAAGCATGTTTTGATAGAAGGATGTTTTTACCACCTTTTTACAGAACAGTATATGCTGCTCTCTTTTACTGGTTATAGCATGATAAAGTGTATCTCCCTGTAGCTTTACGGACTTCCCATTTTCATTCTTAATTAGAGTCCTGAAGGAAAGCAGTACCCTTTTTATTCTCTCTTTTTCTTCTTTTCCCCACAGAAAACTGAGAAAACCAATAGTTAGGCTCACCTAGTAAGGCAGCAAGTAGCCTTCAAGGAAAAAAAACAGCAGAAAGACCTTCTGTCCCAGACTGGCAGTTTCTGTTCCCCAATGTAATGCAGAAGACTGGGAAGAGCTCAGTTCCCAGCTTCTCTGTAGCTGACTTGACTGCTATTACTCTTTTCCCTCACCTCCATCACCCACTCTGCTACCTCCTCTGCTCCATCTGCTCCAGCGTCCTCCTCTCCCCATCCTGCCCCAAAGGCCATCTCTCCTCTCTCTCCATCATCTCCTATCGAGATGAGCCTTCTAGTGCCTAACCCCTGTTCTTCCACGCATGTGCTGCGTGGCCACAGACAAGTCTCCTGTCTTGTGGCTCACAGAGGCTGAGAGCTCAAAGGGACAGTCGTGCTTAGCTATGTGTCTGTCAGACCACGTAGGAACGAGCAGCAGCAACTGTCAGGGACCTTCTGAGAACAGGGACAGCCCAGCAATATTTTTGCAGAAGAAGGAATATAACAGAACAAAGTGAAATCATTTGTGCTGGCACACAGTTGAGGTATTGTGCAAATTACCTGTCTCTGCTAACTTGTTAGTAGTGAAGATTGTAGTTCAAAATGCTGTTAGATGCAGCCATTGAAGTGTCTAGACTAACAGCAGACTTCTTTTTTTACCCAGTGTATGAGCATAGAAAGAATAGCCTGGCCCTCCGAGGGATGAAAAAGGACAAATTAGAATGAGGATAACATGAAATAACACAGATAGTGAACTTGTGGTTGCAGCGGTTTCTCTAATGCAAAGGGCAGATTAGGCCTTTATCAAGGATCTGATTTGCCAGAGCAGAAAAAAAGAATTCTGTAGACTGCAAATATGTTCATAAAGGCTAAGAGTAAGGCTCGTTTAAAGCCAATGAGCCCAATTCTT